GAGGCAAATGGATACCAACCTGAGGAACAATATTTTTCGTTCTTTTGCTGTAACATAATATTTGCATTTTAGGAGAATTCTCATTTTTCTTTTTCTTCTCACTTTACAGAAATGCCAAGTAAATCAACAAATCCAGTTACTGGGATTAAAACTAAAAGGTAGATAAAATTCAATGGCATTACAAGAAAAAATGTACTTGTTATCATGAAATTCAGTCTGCTGATACAACCTCTCACAGGTTCACAAGTAGAATCGAAGTTGATTCACAGTTTTGTAGAAACTAAAAAGATCTCCATCTTCATAGGCAATTTCTGGAATATAATGTTAGACTAGTCACTATAATGTGAACTTATGTAAAAATGTCATAAAGAAAAGGGAAAAGAAAATAAGTCGAGCAACTGGAATACCTATCACCTAGAAAGAAGTCTTTGAGATGAAATTTGGACAATTGACAGTATCAATGGCCTGGTTATAATTGTGTTCCTTTGATTTTAAGGGTCATATTTTGTCTCCCTCAGGCTAGACTCTAGCCATAGATCATCTGTCTGGTAGAACTCCGTACTGACCATAAAATATATAAAGAGAAGAAAGAGTCCAGAGCAAGTAATTTGTGGTGGGTTTACATTAAGAATAAAAGCTAAATTGAAAAAGCCTGAAAAACTTTACCAAACAGAGGTAAATATTGGGCAGTACTGCAGACATGCTTCTTTTTTTCTAAATCTGAAGGACTGATTCAGACAGTGGTAGTGATATCATCTTATGGAAATTTGAAAGCAATACATGTGCTTCTGCAGTTGCCAAGCTGAGATGAGTCTGTGATTGAAAATCCTGTTATCTGAAAACTTACTAAGTCTTATTATAGTATTCTGGTCTAGAAAGAACTCCTGAGTTTTTTCATAAACCTTGAACACAAATAGGTTTTGCTTTTTTAAGCTTGTTTCTTTCTTTCTTTTTTGTTTGTTTCTTCTTTTCCTCATTAGGCAACATTGCTTCAAAACTTTCAGAGAAAAAGATGAAAACACGTCAATTAATAAGGTATGCTGAAAATATCTCTTCATTTTGAAGCAACTAAAGTGCCTGTTTCAAAAGAGAACAACAAACACTGCTTTCAATCACCTTTCTTCTCACTCTAAGACAGTGAATGCTGTTCATCACATATGTAGAGATGATACTTTTTACAGCTAATCAGACAACTCACTAAAAATTGAAGTCCAGTTGGAGAGATATGGTTCTCTTGACAATGCTCAGAAATATTCAGGAAAAAAAATAATATTCAGAAAATAGCAATAAATCTGCAAAAGACCCTTATTTTTTGTTATTTTCTAAGCAGAGACCATTTTTTAAATATTATTGAATAAGACTTCAAAGAGAATGAAGATGAAATGAAGATTAAAGGACATTTATAGCCTGGTGTCTACTACAAAATTTTTCTCGCATATTGCAAATTTTGGTAGATTATGTCTTCAGACAACTGGAAGAAGCTTCATGTTCCCAAAGGCTTCAAGTTCTCATGGAGACTTTAAGAAACATGGTACCTGCTGAAGAGACAACAACCAAAGGGCAATCAACCCAGGAGATTTCTGGAGTGGTTTGATGAAAATTTCCTGACAGGAGTGTTGGAGGAAGCAAGAGAAGCTTTTTCTGCTTGACCTCATGCTTAGAAACATAGAGGAATCAGTGTGAGGGACATTATTGTCTGCATTATTGTCTGAATTTCAGGATTCTGAGGGAAGAGGATCAAGACAAAAACTGGATCATAATCCTGGATTTTGTGAAAATAGAGTTTGATCTTTGGCATTCCAAGATCTGCTTGTAAGAATCCCAAGAAAGACAGTCCTGGAATGCAGTCATGGATGTAATCTTGGGATGCAGTCACAGTTCTACAAATGCCAAAACCCACCTGGACTGAGCCCAGCAAACAACCCAATCCTTCCTTTTAAAAGGAAACAAGAGGGGTTTCTACAGATTTATCAGCAGAAAAGAAAACTAGGGAAATCATGGGATGGTTGTAGGAGGCGGGGATGGACAACTGCTGACAAAGGATGTGGAGAAGGCCGAGTATTCAATATCTTCTTCAATTTGGGTCCTTCTGGGTAAGCCCTCAGAAAAGTGAGGTTTCTGAGACCTGTGGGAAGGTCTGGAGAAAAGAAGACTTACACTTGGTGGAAAAGGATCATATTAGAGAATATTTAAACAAAGAGGACATATATAAGTTGATGAGACTTGACAAGATGCACTTGCAAAATATTGTGAGGTCATTCTTGATAATATTTGAAAACTTATGCAGGCTGGCAAAGATGCCTGAGATTTGGAAGAAAGCAAATATCACTCCTCCCTTCATAAAGGGCAATAAGGAGGAGGTGGAAAACTACAGGCTTGTCAGCCTCACCTCCATCTCTGTGAAGATGATGGAGAAAATCCTTCTGGAAATTTTTTCCAGGTATTGAGGTCAAGAAAGTACCTTGTATTAGTCAGCATGTATCTGCAAAGGGAATATCATCTTTGACCAACAGAATGGCCTTCTCTAATGAGAAGATTAACTTCATGAAAGAGGGAAGAACAGTGAATTTTGTTTATTTTTACTTTAGAAAGGTTCTCAGCATAATCCCCCATAACAACCTCCCAGACAGCCTTACAATATATGAACTAGATCTGTGAAAAATAAGGTAAATTGAAAACTGGCTTGAAATAAATTAAAAGGATTTTAATTCAAACTGAAATCAGTCAAAAGGATTTTAATCAGTGCCAGCAAGTCCAACCACAGGCCAGTAACTAGAGATGTATCCAAAGGGTCTCATATTGTTTTATGATTTCATTAATTATGTGTATGATAGAGCAGTGTGCAAGTCTGAACATTGCATAAAGGAGGAGTTTCAATAAAGTAGAAGTTTGTGCTGGTTTTCAGAAGGACTTCAACAGGCTGGAGAGATGGGCCAACAGGAAGGACAGGAAGCTGAAGAAAGGGAAATGACAAGTCCTGCCCCTGGGGAAGAATAGGCCCTTGTCCCAGTCCAGACTGGAAGCAAACCAGGTAGAAAGCAGTTTTGCAGAGAAGGGCAGGGGGGTTCTGGTGGACTGCAAACTGAACGTGAGCCAGCAGTGTGTCCTTTCAGCTAAGAAAAGCAACTTAGCCTGGTTTGCATTAGGAAAAGCACTGCTGCCAACAGATCAGGAATCTTTCCCCTTCTGGTGAAGCACACCTCGAGTGCTGGGTCCAGTTCTGGTCTCCCCAGTATGAGAGAGACCAAGACTTACCAGAATATGGTCCCTAGTTAATGGCCACAAATATTATTAAGGGATTGAGCATCTGTCACATGGGGAGAGGCTGAGACCACTGGGACCACTCAGATGGAGAAGAGAAAGCTTAGGAGAATCCGACAGGGGGAAAATGGAACTAGACTCCCAGTGGGAGCCAGTGAGGGGATAAGAGGCTTTGAATACAAGCTAAAATGCAATATATTCCCTTCAAATATGAGCAAAAAAGTATTCCTCACTGTAAGCATAATTGTACACTGGAAACAGGGGAGCTAGGGAGTCTCCATCCCTGGACAAACTTCTCTAGTTGCCTCTTTTTTGTACAAAGGCATTGTACTCAAGAGTCTCCAGAAAGCCCTTCCACCTGAAGGAGGTCTTAGACTCAGCAATTCGAAACCTTAATGATTCTGTGACATGATTCTTTTATGATAAGCCCACAGGCCAGTTGAACTTGTGCCAAATTAGCATTTTTAAGATAGATGTTAATGCATAAAATTGCTTAGCAGGTGTACATATCAGAAATTTCTGTTGATTTACCTGAGCCTGAGTGGCCCAGCCAGTTAGTGTGGTTACAGTTTAAAGAGAATTATAATGGTTACTCTGTTAGGCTGCTTTTCATTCCCTGGGCATAGCAGCCAGCAGTCTACTCATGGGTAAATGTCATAAGACAATCATTGGCATAAACCCATCATAAGCAGAACTTGTACCTTCAAAACCAAATCGCTACAGATTTGGTCTGTGGTGGTCAGTGTTGCCTGAGGAACACTAACTACAGATCCTTTACCAATTTTCAATGTTTTCATGCAATTTTTTCAGGTAAGCTTAATGTAATGTATCCTATTTCCACCAAGCAAAACTCCTACAGTCATGGCAAAGAGGAAGCTCTAGGATTTTTCTATTTTTTTAACTTAGGACTCAATTTCCTAAGCATCTGGAAAAACAATACATTGTGTGATCAGGAAAGAAAGGCGGTTGGTCTTTTGGCTCTGAGAATTCATGAAAGACAGATCCATGTAGAATTGTCAGTATAACCTCAACACTCAGAAGAGTTAAGTTCAATGATACAGAATGTCACTCCTTGAAGAAGAGAAATGTAAATGGGAAAGCTGATACGTTTGTCCTCAAGACTGTATGTGTTGTTTCCTTTCATCTATATTTCATTTTTCTTGAATTCCCAGTTTTTCGTTCCAGCAGACATAGAAAGACAGCGTTTTGAATAGAAGCAAGAGGAAGTATTTCTTTAGTTTTGTTTAGAACTATATTTTGTAGAAAATTTCTAATTACACCTATAAAATTATTAGCAAAACAGGATTGCTATAGATTTCAACAATGAGAGGCTTGTTGACTAAATGGATTGAAATGATGAAGGAAGGAAAGGTTCCTGGTGTGCAGCTTAACCAATCTCTTAATCATAACTTTTCCAAACTTTGACCAATCAAAATTCTCATTCCAAAGCTCATTCTGTATATCTGTGTTAATGTACTTATTTAAAAAAAAATTCTAACATAGCTGATTAAATATTTAAACCATTATAGAAGGTATGTGAACATGACATTATCTTCCTATACCCCGACCATGTTGGGAAAATTCCAGTAAGATGAGTCAGTGTGATAGCCCCTTTGGGTTGGTTTTATTATTTTTATTTTTTGATTATTCTGTTGCTGCAGTGATTAGGATTTCAGGCAATGAGCTAAAACAATATATTACTAGACTGGCAGTCAATCAGATCACTATCACTTCAAACATCATTTAAGAAGATCTACATTTTTTATTATTTATATAGCTCCATAGTTCATGGTGCTACATAGAACAAATCAAAGACAGATTCCCTGCCCCCTAAGAGCTTACAGTCTAGGCAAGTACAAGAACAACAGGAGAAGATAACACAGGCAGGGGACAGAGAGGGGTAGAAAATGAAAATAAAGACAATTAGATTACAGTCACATGAAAAGCTAATGTTTTTATCTTGATGAGGGGAGATGAGGTGTTTGAGTAACTTTATTTTTAATTAGAACTATTTTTAAAGGAAGGCCAGAAGAAAAGGGCTTTAAAAATAAATTTCCTACTGTCAGAGGTGCCTGTAGGAAGGCAGAGAGGTAAGACTGGAAGAGAACAGGACACTAGCATGTTTGAGGTTGGAAAGCAATGATCTTCTAAGCAAGAGAAGCCATCCTCAGCAACTCTTTGTTTTCCAATACATCCTTGAAATTCTGACAGAAACACAATTGCTTCTGTACACCTAGTTCTGCCTTAGATATTATATCTGTACATATTTGGGGCTGTATTGGATAAAACCTTGATTGCCGTTAAATAGAAGTTCTCACACCTCTTTCAAAGGAGTATTTTAGTTATCATATTTTGTGTTTGTTGATGTATTTGGAGACTAAGTGAAGTTGTATCTGAAGTGCTTCCCATTTTTCTAATATCCTTAACATCAAAACAATAAAACATTATTTTATAGCATAATGTTTTACATCTTAGTATGATATTACCTCTGCTCATGATCCCTTTTCCCTGAAAATATTTTTATTTTGTAGAATATTAGGGCATTTCTCCTATTGTGGCTTTGGATTTTGGCACAATATGTTTTCTTCCCTGATAAAGTACGTTTTTTAAATTCTGAAATATTAACAAGTAAGTGTAGTAGGACTAAACTGTGTTATTTTGGGGGTTGTGAGCACTCTATGGATGAAATCAGGAAAGATTAATGATCAGAGTCTCAAGAAATAATAAAATGAAAGAAAAGGTTATTTCAAATCTATACTGAATTCTTCAACACAAAATTAAGACAGAAATTTCAGAGAGAAATATTGCATATAAAATCTGCCAGATACTCCCTGTATATGTCTGTACTTCTGTTTATATAAAAGGAGAATACCATTAAAAAGGCCTGCTGATGTCTAGAATTGGACAAATCCTCATTCACTGTAAAGGACCTGACATCTCTTGATTTCATCCAACCATTTGGCTCATTATTTTCACTACCAGTCCTCCACAAATTACATTTATCAACATCATAAAAGGGGTTTTGTCCTTTTTTTTCTAGTTATCTATTGCTATACAACCATGCTGAGGCAACCTGAAGATATAAACAGGGTGTCTTACGCGTTTTAAAGACGTCTATTTTCATCGAAACAGACAGGGGGAAAAAAGTCCTGTTCAATTTTTACCTCCAATTCTCATCCACCAGGCAGCGCCATTTCACTGAGCTATAACTGCTTTAAAATTCTTCTCTACAGTGACATTTAGGATCAGTCAGAGAAGCACCCACCCTCCTGTCCTTCCTGAGAAATCAGCAGACTAATTCAGCTGTTTTATGAGACCAGATAAAGCAGTTATATGTGGATTCTGAATCTTCGTGGGCCAGATCCTCTTCTGATTTTCTGGTGGGAAGCTCCATCAGCTTTAATGACAGTACAGAAATTTATACAGCATGAAAATTTTTTAATATTGGGGTAAGCCTTTCAGAGGCCTTTCCATACAAAGAATTTTTCTTCAGAATTGAGGATTTTTTTCACAGCAGTAAAAAGAAAATGAGGATTTTGAAGATTTTGAAGAATTTAAATATATTGGGTTTTTGCAAGTACAAAACTATCAGTAGTATTTTCTACTCTTTTGGGAGTCAGGCCTTTATTAGTAAATTTTCTGTAACTGTCGTAATACAGAAATAATTACTAATGCACAACAGACTAATAACATGAGTTAGTGTATGATTGTTGAAAAAAACCCTCATTTTACTACTGTGAATCTGTGGAGCCGTGCATTTCTAGTCTTGATCTTTAATACAAATCTCCAGTTACTTTTCCTATTTCCCTCAATAAAGGAAGGCTGAAATTCTGACCAAAATCTTAATTAAGCTATACTACCTCCATGACAGAAGTTTTGTTCCTTGGGGAACTTTGACCCAATGAAATATTTGGGACATATCCTGCATTCACTGTTACTTTGGCTCACAAAAAGCTTAATGAGAATTAATGAGCGTTAAGGTGAGAATGAAATCCTGCTTATTTCAGCATCCTCAATGGAGAAAAGAACAGTATGTTTGAATATAATACAGCATTTTATTACATGATTTTACAAATTTTATTGTAAATCATCAATCAAATGCAATAGCCAATTTTTTCCATTCCAAGCCATCATAATTAGGAGTTTTCATTGTGTTATGACAGTTACTCTTTTCCCCTTTGTTTTAAAGAATTAACTTAAATATAAATCATGTACGTTTACTCATTTCCAGAAAAATTGCTTAAAGTGTTTTTATCTTCTTTATACTTCAGACAAAGATAACCTGTTCTTTGTTATCACATAAATGGGGATGAATCTCACAAATATAAGAGAATTTGCTTTCTCAGTCCCTGCTCACAATGGAAATGGCCAGCTCAATCTCTATGAAGATTTATGATAACTGGGTAGTAGACACAAACCTCCCATTCGCCCCCAGATTTCATTATATAATTTCTACAGTTTGGATTATATATTTTATATTTCTGTGCCATCATCTTTACTTACCAATGACTTATTATTTATTATTATTTCCATATTTTGGGGGGATATTTTATGGTTTTGGGGCTTAAAGTCAGTTTTTTTTCCATGTAAAGACCATCTTAATAATCTTTTTTGGTTGGCATAACATTCCTACATAGTCTATACTATACATTTCTTGCTGAGATACAAATAAATTTACAATAGACAGAGGTGCAAGATTCAGCATCTTTAGGGCAGCATTTCAAAATGTTATGTCCAGGAACTCACCACATTCAGGACATATAATTTAGCTTTGAAGCAGCTAAGAGCCAAATCCTGCAAATATTATCACAATGTGCTGTAATGGCTTCTGTCAGAAATCCCAGCAACTCTCTTGTCACAAATTTAGTGGCAAGACTCATCAGGATAGGGCACTAAGCTGAAGCTAAGTACCAGTACTGACACAAAGTACTGCACATATGTTGCTCAAATCACGCAGCAAAACCAAACCAACTAAAACTGACATAAATTTAATGCTTTCTTTTTTTCTTTTTTTTTTTTTTTTTAAATTTTGTGCATTGGATTCAAACAGCAAACTGAGTGCATATTAACTTCTATCACAATGTGGTCAAGAGGTCTGTGTCTTTTACCATTTACACACAATTGTTCATGACAACATGTTATCAGCTCAGTGGAAACCAGGGGTGTAGCATGGTAAGCAGTGGTGGTAGTGCACCTATTTTTTTTATATTATATAACTTGAAAATATGTCTCTTCTAAGATTCCTTTTTCATGATAAAAATAGTTTTCACCAAACGTTGGTGGTGCGCACGCACTACCACTCATGCTTGGCATCACACCCCTGATGGAAACACATGTTCTTATTTTGTTGATAAAAAGTATTACAAAAATTTCCATACAAAAACTATTTTCATAGAAATCTTGCATTTCCACAAATAAACCTGAACATTTTTTTTTTTTTTGGAAAAAAAAAACTGCTCAAGAATATTGTTCATTTAGTACTGTGACTGTATTGAAAAATGCAGTCCTCCTTTAAGTTCTTGACATTCACTTCTTTTAGGTGACCCATCCCTCTTCCAACATTAGCGAGAATTGCTCAGGCTCCATTGAGTTCAATTAGTAGCAGGAACAAGTGTTTCAAAACCCATTCAGGCTAAAATGCAAGCCCTCTATGTGTGGAATACACTGCTTCCCACCCCCCTCCCTCTTTTCACCATTATAGAAAAGAAAATCAATTGCTTATATCTAAAGTTTGTAAGACACATTCCTTTGTAGTAAGGAAAGTTTCATTCATCTAAAAATTGGGTCAAAATTCTGGAAATATTTTTGTTGATTTTTTTAGATCAATGTTCCAACCCAGCTAAATTCTTTTTTTTTTTTTTTTGTAATTATTATTTATTTACTTAGTTCAGTGTCACAAACAGTCAAAAAAACCCAAAAAAACCAAAAAAAAACAGGTGAGCATCCTTATATTTATTCTTCTATTCATGGGATTCATGTTTCTTCACTTTTAACATTTCTTGGATCCAGGAAGATCATATCACCTTGTCCAGATGGTAGTTTCAGTCTATCAGCAGTTACCAACATTTCTGTGCTGGGAAGTTCAGAAGAACATATGGTTTCTTGTTCCACTACAGTTCTGAGACATTACTTTTACTAGACTCCTTCTGTGGTTTGTGTCATCTTGGGCATTTATTCTCCCTTTTCTGGCAAGAGTTGAACTTCAAAAGGAACCTGCAACTTCTCACTGAGACTGCATTTGAAACCAGCCACAAAACTCACATGGAACATTCATTCATTCAGAATGATGGAAACCCATGACAAACAGTGTAACCCTGCATAACTTGGTTGATCCATGATGCTTGTGATTCGAGTCTGGCCATTGCAACTGCTGAGATCACAGAGTCTCTAGTTCATAGACACAGCGGCATGAGGTAACTCATTTTATTTTGCACTTGTTGCATATTTCCACAGGAAACATTCTCGCAAGGTTGTTTGGAAAAAAGACGACAGTTTGTGCTTGGGGTATTTGGCTTCCCAGCTCTATGCCATGGTTTCTTTGCCTGGCAACCTTCTGTCGTTAAATGTGTGCATGTTGATAACTTCTTCTGTTTTCACAATAACAGGGGCCTGTGGCTTGTGTTTCAATCGGCGCTGACACTTCAGAGACATCCTTAGCTCCTCTACCATGGCACTACAGAAGGACCTCTGCAGAGGGAAACAGAGGAACAAGAAAAAGAAATAGCTGTAAGAAATTACTAACTGCAATGTCTAGAAGCAGATTCACTATACCGGCACACACTTGTCATTCTTTGCTCTGTTCCAGTCTGAAGCTCAAAACAAATTTCTGGCCTTATTATATGCATCACTATATATGCATATTATTATTTAATAATAATTAAAATTACTTATCAAACAATGTAAAAATCACCTTGCCTGTACAATTGTTTCTCTGACAGGTATTAAGTCTGGTTGCATATGTTACATAAAACTACTTCGAGCAGATTTTCTGTCAACATGTTAGCTTTATAGTACAGTATCCAAATGTCGCATATCTTTCAGGCATTCAGTAGAATCTCCTTAGCTTACTTTATATTTCAGAATAATAATTGCATTTCTATGGAAATAAAGTGAGAACTCTTCCACAAAACATAAAGTTTTAGTATAGAGAGTTTACCTGAATTCATCTTTAAATACTGTTAAAATCTATTACTGAAAACTGATATTTACTCCATAATCTATAATATCTTCTGTATATAAACACTTTTACCACTACTGATTATCATTTATAGATTATGTGTTTGCAAAAAGAAACAAAACAGCAATTCAGTTTTGTTGATCTTCATGAAAAGTGTACTATTAAAAAAAGTTTATTAACATATTTATATCAAATCCTCAAAGCCCTTTTTCCAGTTTGCAGTGCAAGCAATTTGAAAAGTAAAATAAAATCTCCCTATTCCCTCAGTCTGACTGAATTCTCCACTGCTAATGGTGTGCTGAGCAATTAACCTTCTCTCAGTGTGAGAACGGGAGTATCAAATGACATATGGTAGTAAGAAAAAAAGGTCTCACTTTTGAGCTCTTCATCATAATTTAACTTAAACATTTTCCAGGTAATGGAGAAATACACTAACTAAATAACCCATCCCAGAAGCCGAGATGTTAAGCCAAGCCTCTGGCAACTGCTCTCAGCCAAAGAAAATTTGAGATATGGTCTAACTCTTTGCATTTTTCTCACTTAATAACTAATCCCCAGGCCAGGGACATGATCAGGGAAAAAAAGGCAAATGAACAAATGAAAAACAAATAAACAACCTATCGAACAATATGCAAAAAAGTCAAAGCACCTAGAATTTCTCTTACTACCTCATGACAATTTTTTGATTTTGTTTGATTAGTGGTAGTCAACACATAATTGTCTCATTTGGCTTTCAAATAAAAATTCTGCTTTATTAATGTTATATCTTCATAATCATACAAACCTGAAGCTTGGAGATTAGATCCAGAAAATATTTAAACATCACACCCAACCTAGTTCACTGAGAACCCATCTTGAACCTGTATTCATAAAAGTCTGCATTCAGCGTCCAATCTCCAGGGCTGAAAGCAGTAAGACACTCAGCTCTCCCCATCAAAATTTACAGCTTTGTCATTTGGCAATAATAGAAATTCTGTGAAGCACACTGGTGCTTGGTTTGGTTGTGGATCCTGTTAGAATTCACATTCCAGTTCTCCATGCATGCTTATCAATCCAATAGATGTGCTCTGAAAGGACCTAACAAGCCAAGATCCTTAAAAAGTGCGACAACCGCTAAAGAAGAATCTGTGGCAGATATCCTTTTCTTTGGTGCAGACAGCAATCAGCTGGAGAATTATGGCTGAACATGAGTCACATTTAAGAATGTCAATATAACAGCATCTTCTGCCAGAGAGATTGAAGCTTGTGTCTCAGTAAACAGCTGTAACCTAGAGGCATTAGACCTGTGGGTCACTTGCAGTTGCTGCCTGCTGATCCTGTTCCACTTGGCATGGCAGCAGTTAACAAAGGAATAGACAGAGAATGGGAGACAGGGAAAACACGAGCTATTCTGTAGATTAGGGATGAGAGCACGCAGCAACAGAGGAAGGGCTTCAGTAATAGTTCCTGTTTCTCTGAAAACTTCAATGGTATTACATAAAATTCTATTTTGAGCATGCGCAAATATGAGTTGTCTTAATTAGGAATTAGAGCTGAGCATGAATCCAACAAAGCCTGAGCAAATGCCCTCTTCCCTAATCCTCTGCATGAATAAGGAAATGGGCAGGCAGGAATTGAAGGAAACTATAATCTTACTCTGGGTGTGATAAACTTCCTTTGGAGCACTTCTTTCTCCTGCTGTTTGAAATAAAGGAATAATGCCTACTCAACTTACAGCAGAAATTATTTTACCACCTACAACTAAGAAAAGTTTAAGTTGTGAATCCAAAGGAGAAGAAGGCATATTTCTCTGGTACACAGTCAAGTACATTTCCTTCAGAGCCAAAAGTTTGGCATTTCTGGCTGAAGTGAGATCTGCAATGTGCACTGGGTTGACATACAAGACAGCATTCTTTGTGTGAATGAGAGGGCTAAAATTCCTGATTGAATGGTCTGAATTTAATATGTCAGATATTAATGCATAAGATATCTTTGCTGAACATTGTGTAGAAAGTAGAAAACTGTACCTTCTTATCCTGCTATGCTTTAAAAGAAAATATTCAATTTTCTTAGATTTTCCCTTTTTTTCTAATAAAGTGTTATTGCTTAACATCAAAACTGCCATTATGATTCTGAAATTGAAATCAACCCTGAAATATTTTAAAAGGGCAAGAATTAATTTAGTATTCCCTAATGGCTTACAGGCTAAATTGCTAAGGCTTGAAGATCTTGGCATTTCCACTATGTGAGGAACCTAGCATATAACTCAGGAATTTCATAGAGAATACATTAAGAAGTAAATGGTGCAACTCAGCACTACATCCCTTGTAGCCATGATATGGCTCTCACCTCTGGAATTAAAGACCTAGCTAAAACATTCTGAGGAACAAAATCCTTCTAAATTTTAAAATTATGCATTAGCTCTTAAAACTTTCAAGATTGTGTTTGTCTTTTTTTTGCCAAGGCGTCTAAGAAGAGTGCCAAATTAGAACAGATCCTTTTCAAGGGGAAATCAATCCACCAAAGCCTTTGCAAAATCTGCAAGGGTACAAATTTTAAGGTAATATCAGTAGGAAATGGATTACAGCCAACATCCAAGAGGTGAGAAGATACATGGCAACATTCTGAAATCCCCTGAAAATAATATCTCAAGAAACTTGACAACGCATTTTATCTGAGAATTTTACCTGGATATAAAAACTCACTAAAAGGGAAATGTTTTAATGACTGACAGTCTTAATAAAGCAGATACCATAACTTTGAAAGAGTTATTTTATATATTCGTCCATTCTGTGTTTTCAACTTATTTTTTATAAATTTTTTATTTTATCTTGTATGTGCATATGGGAATAAAAATATTGTTTCTGATTAAGAGTATTGCTACATATCTTCTGTTTGTTTGTTTGCTTGTTTCAAATTTCACTCACTGAAATAGTATGTATTTTAAAAATATCATTTCAAGGCTATGTAAGAGTTCATGATCCAGATCTTTTTTCTTCTTTGGGTTCTATCTGAGAAATATAAGGAAGAGTTTTCACACATATCAAAAAAGTAATATTCAATAAATTTTAGAAAGGATTTATGGTTTACTTTTTTACATTGAAATTAATTTTTTTTGGTCTAATTTCAATTCCAATCTCTGTAGCCTCCATTTTTTATACTGTTAAACTTTGTGTTCTTTCAGTGTGAGGATACAGTTTTTTGAATAATAAGACATGAAAACAAGAAGCACCTCAAGAGTATTTTTTTTGTGACAGATAGAAGACATTTTCATATATGATTTTACAAAAGAAAATCCAGTGTCTTGATCCTTGCTGTTCAATTGCTAAGGGAAAACAACATAATGTTTACAGAACTGAAAGGCTACATTTCAAAACTGTCGTCCATCATGGAATTGAGCACTTTAGTATATATTACAAGACTCTCCATTTAATTCAAAGAAAATAACCTCTTGCTCCCAACTTACCTTACACACTGCAGGCATGTTACAAGAACATCAGTTTTTATCGATTTTTCACTAACCCTTACAAAATCTTAAGTTGTTTTCTTAAATGCTGTCAGAAAGTAAATGCAGCCTCCAAGTCATCTCAGATATAATCAAATGCTAGAAGAATTTAAGGGCAGCATACAGCTCTCTAAACCACAGTGCACATAAGTGTTTTGTTGCAGCATATCATGATACAACATTACGAAAGAAGTGTACAGAAGATCATTTTAATCAGAACTGTAGTTCTTACCCTTCAAACACAAAACAATTCTGAACAAGTTCATCTCCTTAAAATGAATAAAGAAGTAACTGACACCTCTGACATTCTTTGCCACAGCTGGCATCTCACAAGTCATGGAGAATCAAGATGAGAATTTTGCAAAATGTTACCACTGCTTGCAAGCTGATTAGGCAGCCTATGCATGGCTTTGCTGCATGAGAAAAAATAAATGTGGTTTTGCACGTGTATTAATATAAAAGGTCCATAACACACTGCTTTCATTATTTTGCTTTATGGGAATTTAGAAAGGTATTTAGAAATCATAATAGCATTTGTTAGACGCATAGTTATGAGATTATTACCATAGATTTTTCTTTTAACAGCCTAAAAAGAGCAACGGGAAGAGAGAATGGCATGCCTACACCACTCTAAACATTCTGATTTAAGTGATTATTGTTCAGTGTGTTTTAAATTTTAAAAAGTCTCCAGTTACCAGTTTATATTTTTCCCTTCTTTTAGGCACATAATATAATAATGACTGTCAGTGTTCAATGGAAGGATCTAAGATTTACTGAGAAGTTCATTACTTCCAGTCTTGTCTGTCAGACATTATTTGAAGATTTGTTTAATTATCCTAAAGCAGTAACAGCATTAATCCTGTATTGTCTTGTTATGGGTTGTTGTTCTAGCATCCAGGAGGACACAGCAATCAAACTGCTTTTTACCTTGAAGTTAGCTGAGAATTAATGCACAGTCCTACCCTGACTCTCCTTCCTAATCACTTTCTGATTCCTATGCCACTCCTTCAGGGATTTTAAATATGT